TCGTCACTTTTCCAGAGGAGAGCTCTAATTCTGAGGGAGCTGGAATAAATGCAACAAATCTGTGGATGTACAAAGATCGATGAGGTTAAAAAAAAAAAAAAGAGTGAAATTATTTTTTTTAGTAGGTTTGGTGGTGGCGGGGCCTAGGAACCTTGATTCTTAAAAATAATTCTAATATACAGCTTGGTTCACAAGTATTTCTGGGAGTGAGTTGGTTTTCCTGAGACCACTTATCACCAGACTGAACATGTAACAGCTCTGAACGACTTTCAGTGGGAGCAAAATGTCTAGAAGGAAAAGGCAGGTTTTGACAGACAGGACCAGCAAAGATGCTGTGCTTCAATAAAAGCGCAGAGCCCAGTGCTCTGGGGAGTGGGCCAAGTTCAGGAAGCAGGGTAGTTTAATGAAAACTGATGTATAATTTAAAGGCAGCAGAGACCTGTGCAGACCCTGGCAACGTCATCTGATAGCTATATGGCCTTAGCATATTAATGTTACTACACCCATATTTATAAAATACTATATGCCTCACACTGAAGTCTGACAACAAAGTGAAAAACGACACCAAACAGACAGGACCTGACCTCGGATAGCCACTTACTGCTGATGTCCTTCCTCTGTCCCAAGAAAGAAAGGCTACTTACATTCTCAGGAGACAGCATTTTCAGAGAAGAAACCCAACTCACCTGGACCTTGGTCGTTCCCTCCCGTCCGGACAGAGTTCTGGAAAGCTAGAGCTAGCAAGAAAGAAAAAGCCATGAAAATCAAGTCCGCCTTGCAGGACTAGTCAGTGCACAAGACAGTGGGGAAAAGTCCCTCAGCTCCTGCCACTGTGGGAGACCCTCTCCTGCGCTGCCCTCCCGCTCCCCACACCTCCCTCCCCTGTCCCCCGGGGCTTGGGTCAAACAGGCCGAGCCCCCTCCCCTCAGGGCACATTCCGCGGCACCGCGCAGCGCCAAGACGTGTCCGTTTTCGGCCCTCAAGTTGTAACTGGAGCAGTAGGAGCTCTCGGGTTGGATGTGTCGCCTCTCGGGATGGATTTTGGTTGCCTGCGACGCCTTCCTCGACCTGACTCATGCCTGGGGTGCAGGGGCTCAGATGCAACCTTTTAGAGAGGACAGAACCCTGGGTCCCTCACAGGAGCCCCTCTCGGCTGCCTAACGTCCACCCTGAAGCTCCCTGACAGAAGGCCAGTCACCTGCGCGGAAAAGGGAACTACGACGCCCCCAGACCCGCTCAGGCCGGGGCTCAGGCTCGGGGCGTCTCGGGGCCACAGCGGCGGTCGCAGCGCCGGGAAGCTCGTGCAGCCTCAGACTGCACGTCCCAGGTCGCGCGCCCGCCCACAGCCGCCCAGCCAGACTTTCGGGTCCCCGAGGCCCGGCGCCTCCCCGCGTGCTCCCACATCCCCACTGCCCGATGCCTCCCCGTGGGAGGCGCCAGCAGCCAGAGGCAGCTCACCTCCCACGTGAATCCACTGCCCGCAAGCGCAGGGTTCCGACTGTGACCCGCGTCTCGGCCGGCGGAGGGCGCTAAACTACAAGTCCCAGAAAGCCCCGGGCGGGTCACGGCCACTTCCGCTCACACTTCCGGTGCCCCTCCCGGGACTTCTAGCGGCGCTGTGCGGAGGTCGGGTTGCAGCTTCCAGCTGATTGCTTTTAACTGTTCTTTGAGAGTTCATTCACGTTGTTATTATTTTTACAATTACAAACGGGTAAGAATTATTTTAGGGATGCCCATTAAAGTGTTTTTCATTTTGTTAATGTGCTACTGGGGGGGGAAAGAACGTAAATATCACCTGTAATTTCGTCTTTTACCTGTAAAAATATTCTGAACCGAATATATGCCGTTCGGCATCTCCATCTTCCTCTTGAAGTTCATTAGTTTAGCAAACATTTGAGGCCTTACTGTGTTCTAGGAACTGTTCAAGACGCTTAAAGAAATCACTTTGGATGTTAAATACTGGTGGGGAAAACAATACATAATTTTGATAAATAAATGGTATAGTGTGTTATAAGGTAATATGTGCTGTGGAGAAAGTAGAGCTGAGCCGGGGATTGAGGGATAGTAGTGCAATTTTAAAAAGGAAAATTTGGAGCCAAGACTTTGAGATGAGGGAATCAGTCATCTGCCACTCAGCAGTCGGAACTCTTTTCAGGATTTTATAGGAGGGAGGACTTGGGAGAAATGGGGCTATTCCATTTTCTGAAACCAGAAGTCCCTGTTTTATTTTCCCCCCTATTCATATTGTCAACTGATGGTAGTTGGTGCCAATTCAACACCAGGAATCCTCAACTTGGGGTATGTGAAGAAGAAACNCTTGGCTGAAACCAGAAGTCCCTGTTTTATTTTTCCCCCTATTCGTATTGTCAACTGATGGTAGTTGGTGCCAATTCAACACCAGGAATCCTCAACTTGGGGTATGTGAAGAAGAAACTTTATTCAGTGCAAAACAGTTCAGTTGTGGTAACAGCGTAACTGTAAAAACATCAGGGTGGTGAGGCATTCCTGGGGCCAGGTGGGTCTGGGGCCAGGCCCCTCTCTGACTAGACAGCTCTACTCTGCTCCTGGCCAGTCTGCTTTGGGTTATGCTGGGGGCTTTTGGGAGGGGCTCTGGAGCAGGTTAAGGCCAGCTGTTTCTTTACCTGGCAGGGGACCACCTGGTAAGAGCTGTAAAGTGATTTGTGGTTGGTAGCTGCCTGTGCTGGGTTTGAAAGTACCTGGGAGAGGCTGTGCTACGATCTGATGCCACCTGTGGCGGGCTTGGAGCTGCAAAGCAAGAGGCACTGGCATGCTGAAGCCAGCTGCTGCTTGTTTGGGCTTTGAGGATTTTGGGGAGATTTTTAGGAATGTCTGCAGCGTGGGCTGAGGCTGGCTGCTTGTGTGGAAAAGCTGCTGAAATTGGTTAAGGCTTGTATGTGATTTGGGTGGGGCAGTGTCTCAGGGAAATCACCAGGGTGGATTGGCAGTGTTAGCTAGGTTGATGGAGACACAGATTTGATGCCTGCCTTCACCTGCAGATGGATGTGGAGTATTCTCAAAAAAAGGAGTAATGGTGCCTTCCTGCACTTCCTCCTGCACCTCTCAGGCTGTGTGTGGGGCAGGCTCAACAATGGACAGTGGTGCCAGACAGCACTTCTGTCCTCGAGAGAACTGCCCCACTAGCCTTCACCCTGAAGTCAGATGATTCAGTTCCTCCGTGTATGTCCCTGGTACTTTGCTGGAACTTAGGGCTAGTATTTGCTCAGGCATTTTAAGAGAAAACCTGAATCTACAGCAAGCCTCTGTCTTACCTAAACAGAATCGCTGCTGATTTTTCACAGCCAGAAATCGTGGGGACTCCTCTTCCTGGACCTAGTACTCTGGACTGGGAGGTCCACTGTGGGGTTGAAACCCCTTGCTCCTCAGGGGGTACCTCCGCAGCTGAGATATCCCTCCCAGTCCTTAACCGCCACAGGTGGGTTTGGGACCAGCCCCTTTCACGTCTTCACCCCTCCTACCAGTCTTGAAGTTTCTTTTTCTTTATATTCCTAGTTATAGGAATTCTGTTCAGCTAATCTTCAGGTGGTTCTCTAGAGTGGTTATTTTATAAATTAGTTGTAATTTTTTTTTTTTTTTAATCCTCACCTGAGGATATTTTTTCCATTGCTTTTCAGAGAGAGTGGAAGAGGGAGGGAGGAAGACATCGATGTGAGACACATCAATTAGTTGCCTCCTGCACGTGTGCTGACCGAGGCTGGGGATGAAGCCTGCAACAGAGGTACATGCCCTTTGCCAGAATTGAACCCAGGATCCTTCAGTCAGAAGGCTGACGCTCTAACCACTGAGTCAAACTGGCTAGGGCTATTAGTTGTAACTTTGATGTGGTTGTGGGAAGAGGTGAGCCGTGTTTCCCTATTCTGCTATCTTGACCAGAAGTCCTCATCATTATCTTTTTAAAAAAAAAAAAAAATTTTTTTTATTGATTTCAGATAGAGAGGAAGGGAGAGGAGGAGAGAGATAAAAACATCAATGGTGAGAGTCATTGATCAGCTGCCTCCTGCATACCCCCTGCTGGGGATTGAACCAAGATCTCCTGGATCATAGGTCGATGTTCAACCGCTGAGCCATGCCAGCTGGGCATCATTACATAAATGTTCACCATGAAAATTTATATAGATGGCTAAAGTTAATAAAAAAGGAAATTCCCCCGCAAAGCTAATCCTTTCTCTCTAATATCCTTCAATGTTTATTCTCTAGAGGTAAAAACATACTAGATTGGATTATCCTTTCAAATTTCTTTGTTTCTGAGTGTGTGTGTGTGAAGCAGGAAGAGGATAGTAGTGGAGGACTGGACCTTCATTATTGACTATAAATCTAGACTCAGTAATAAGGACAGTTATGCCCTTTCTAGGTAATTTCAACCTTGAGATACTGCTATGATTGTCAAAAAGGGAGTGATTGGCATTGTGTCTCCTGGGAAGAGTCAGTTTAGTAGAGGGCAGATAATAGGCTTAGAATTCTCAAAAAAGTTGCAAGGTTTCCTGCTGTTTGGCTATAGGCAAATTATGTCTATCTCAGCACTGGAGTATTGAAGTGAATCAGTATACAGACTTCAAATCTTTGCAAGCTTAAAAAGGAACCTTCTTTTGTAAGGAAAGGTTAGGACCTCTGCTGTGGATATGGGTGATTTGTTAGAATAGGTTATTTTGGGGGAGAGGGGTATCACCCAGCTAAAACAATGTTCAATAAGAGTATTATTAAAGTAGTTAGGTTTGCCTCATTATTTCTGCCCAGTAGTCTTAAATGCAAATCAAGATTAATTTGAATATGTAGAGAAGAAAAGAAACTTGGGATTGATAAACTGTGTATTTTTTTTTGAAAGGCTGATGGTGTCAACTAAAATTTTGAAATCTGTAACTGTTACACACAGAACAGTCTCTGAGTGTGCACTAAATTAATGGAAGTATCGTAGGAAATTAGCTCAAAATAAACTGACAGAAATTATGAAACGAACACGATAATGATAATAAACAGGACATTTATTTTTCAGACTCATTTGGAAGAAAGGAGAAAAGTCATTTTGTCCTACCCAGTGATGGTCTTTCTGAATGAGTATCCATTCACTGCACAGAATTGGATAGGTGGCTTGATCTCAGAAGATTTTATACTATTAATTCATAAAGAGAATTCCCTTTGAAGAATGTGGTCAGAGGGTGAGCCTTTGTGAGCAGCTTCGCTGGTGCACAGCCAGACTCCCTCTCTGAGTGAAGCTTTTCCCACATTGGCTACATAGATATGGCGTCTCTCCTGTGTGGATTTTGCCATGCAGGATACAATTTCCCCTGGTATGGAAACTCTTCCTGCATTGTACGCAGGCATATGGTTTCAGGCCTGTGTGGACTCTGATGTGAACAATTAAGCTTCCTTTCTGACTGAAGGCTTTTCCACACTGATCACATCTATAGGGCTTCTCACCACTGTGAACTCTTCTATGAACAGCAAGGTTACTCTGATTCCTGAAACTTCTCTGACAAATTGCACACTCGTAGGGTTTCTGTCCAGTGTGGAGTCTTTCATGAACAGCCAAACTACCTCGTTGACTGAAGCTTTTCCCACACTCCTTGCACTGATAAGGCTTCTCTCCTGTGTGTATTCGCTGATGTGTAACAAGATTGCCTTTAGCCCTGAAGCTTTTTCCACAGTGGGTACACTCAAATGGCTTTTGACCAGTGTGGATTCTCTCATGCAACGTTAGACTACCCTTTTGCCTGAAGGATTTTCCACATTCCTGGCACTCATAGACCCTCTGTCTCACTCCAGGTGAATCTTCCTGTAGTGTCTTAAAATCTGGGGATTTTTGTTCCAGCTTCTCTCTTCTGAAAGAATTCTGGAAGTCCCAGCTTGAGGATCCTGTGGCCTCAGCATGATCATATTTGTGGTGGGCTTCTGTCATCACATCTGGTAAAATGAGAGGGAAGTCATGTAAGATGTACCAATATGCTGAGTGAGAAGAATAGGGAAAAAAGAATGCTTTGTTGAGTGATTATGTGCCACACATTATACAGTGAACTTTGCATGGATAATTTAATCCTGAAAATAATCCTATGAGATTGCCACAGATAAGGAAATGAGAGCATAGGGAGATTGTCCAAGGTCATGCAGGCAGGTAAGCGTAGAGCTGGGATTCAAACAGGCATGTTCCACAGCAGTGTACTGCCTCTATATTTTGTTTAATGTAGCTTTCCAAATAATCTTGTGAGGTAGACATAAACACCTCCAGACTCAGAAAAATTAAAAAAAACTATACAAGATCACATAGAGCCCCATACCCAAATTTTATCTGACTTCAAAGAGGTGAGGATGCAGGGCCTAAAGCTTTAAAATTTTGGAAGTACTTCATTAGGAAAATGTATAAGTAGGAACAGGGCCTTGAAGAGACCAATGCAAGGGAGGAATCCTGAAACTTAGATTTCATTAGCTTCGTGAGAATCCACTTCTGCACTAGTCTGCTTTCCTGACAGTGGAGTAAACTCCATAATGTCAGAAAACATGTAGAATCCTTGGTACTTTACACCTATTATCTCTAATCCCTGCAGGGTAGAGCCTATTGTCCTATTTTACAGATGAAGATGCTGCAATTCAAGGAAGTTAAATAACTTGTCTGATATTACAGCTCAAGCCAGAACAACTACAGAATCTGATACAGGGAATTTTTCCCTTTAAAATTCATGCTACTTCAGTCTACTAAGCTGTGGTAGAATTGAAATCAGTTTTGGTTTGGAAGTTATTCTCAAACATTTCCTATTTACAGTATTTTCCAATATTGCCTTGTATCTGAGCTTTCTACTGCCCTTTAAATATGGGCCCAATTTATCATTACCCCATATTAACAGTTTTTTTGGAGTCATCCGAAGGAGATTTTCTCATTGTTCCTCTGCCTTACCCTTCTTTATTCAGTGACTGCACTGAGATATAAAGATGCTCATTGATTCTCTGAGAGATTACCTCAAGTTTATTTCCATATCAGGATTGTTTTTCTGCTGTTTCTACTGTTATTTCTAACTTCAACTTGCAGTCTTTTCTGGTAACCCCCAGGAACGGTGAACTCCACCAAAGGAATGTCTCCTCTGTTTCCTCAGCCTGCCAACCAGTGCTGAGAACAGGGACACTTCATATGGTGAGCTGAGGGCATCCCAGCGATCAACTGACTCACTCACTGAAAAATGCTACATTCTGGGCATATCTTCCATGACAGTCCAGCAGGGTAGCTGTTGGAAATCCAAACATGTCCACTCCTGCTGTATGACCTTAATCACCACCTCTTCATGTGATGCTTCCATAGGGTGTTCTTGAGCACCTGAGGAGGAAAACACCAAACAAACAAAAACAAAGTACAACAACAAAAACAGGAGAGGGTAGGAGAATTGATGAGTGAAAGATTAAAGTCAACAGGACCTCCAGTTTGGGGTACGAGTAAATGGAGGAACTCTGGATGGCCTGATGTAAAGTTAGTCACCTATAATGTAACAGCAAAATGATACCATGACCACACACAAATGAGCCCAGGGGGAAGCAGGAAGTGGAAAAGTAGAGAACACATAAACACATATCTCTCTTCCTGCCAGTTTTAAGATAATGGGCACTCCTGTTTGTTCCTTAGCCGTGGCATGTGATTAGAATATTCTAATTCCTTCCCCTATCTAACCATCTGCTATTTGGGTAGCCTCCAAAGGAATTCAGATTCTAAAAAACTGAATATTCAGCCTTTATGATTGGCAGTACTATGGAAATGGCTATAGCTCTTCTCTCCAATTCCCCCTAAGTTATAAGGACAGAATGAGATTTCATATGTTACCTTTAAACAGTTCTTAGGAGTCTCCAGATCCAGACTTTCCCCTCTCCTACTCTTCAGGATATGAGAATACCAGTTCTGAGGGAAGTGTAAATACTTGTCAGTACTTAGAAAAGGAAGGCCTACTTTGGATTCCAAAACAGCCCAAGGTATTCCATTTAGGGTGAGTAACTTGCCCAAATTCTCAGAGCTGGTAAGGAGTCAAGGTGGAAGAAAGATTTAAATCCAAAATTTTCTGGACCCAAAGCCAAGCCTATGCCTTTACACTGGACAGTTCTCTAGTTCCTCATTACTAAAGAGCTGGTGGAATTTTTGTAACATGGAACGGAATGGAACAGGGCTTGGTCAGACTTTACTACTCATCTAGATCCTAGGAATTCTCTTGCCTCATATTTTTTTCTGTTTTTTTTTCCTTTGGAATATTCTATTCTTACTTCCTGATTACTGAATTCTTACACTTTATACAGTCGTTCAGTGTATAATCTTTGTTTTCCTCTAATATGTCTCATCAAAATGCTGGCCACCTGATTTAATGAAATGGCTGTGTGATGCTACAGTTCTCTGCTTTGTTAACTGAAGCACCTGGTCTTGTCAGCTGCACATTCTGCTACATGTTGTAGTGACTGAAGAGGCATTTTAAACTCTTATTTGGAGGACTCACCTCCAATTGGGAGTACAAGCTACAAAGGAATCCCCTATCAGAGTGTCAGGATACTACAGGACATTAATTTAGAATTTCAAGGTGTTACTGCTCAACAACTGCACATTCACCAAGAGTCAGGGGAAAGTACCTGGCACCTGCTGCCTGAGGTTGGACTCTGTGCCTGGGGAGTTGAACAAATAGAGTTTGGTTAGAACAAGTGGGTAGACCTTACAGCTCCACCTCTCCACATACTGTGAGCACTTCAACAAGTAATACACTCAGCTGCATCTCAGGAACTTCCTCGATTAATAAAGGGAACCTTATTTTTCTCCTTAGATCACATCTCTGAGGAATTAATTTCCTGAAGAATTTGGAGAAAGGGGCATTACCATAGCAAATATTGCTTTCCTAGCAGAAAGGCTACTTATCCTTTGGAAAAGCTCAGAATTAGGCTGTGAGAGACTTGCTGTCTTGGCTCCCCATTCCCCCATGTGACCTTGGGCAAGTAACCAAACAGTCCTCACTCCATTTCCTCACTTACTAAATAGGTTAATAACAATCTCATATCAGGTAGCTGCTGGGAGAATAAAAGAACCAAATGTGAAGGGTCTCTGGCAATAGCTGTAGATTTACGGCCTGAAGTTGAGAGCCCTCAAAAGAAGACGACAAGAAGTAGGGGTGACTGCTCTCTCCAGAACCTCCTGGGGAATAGTTTCAGCATTAGGAGACTTTGGGTGGCGATGATTATTTTCTCCACGCAACTGAAGCCACTTTGTCCTTTCTCCCATTTACTGTCCCCAGAGAGGCTGCAAGTCTCCAGTGCATCTTCTGAAGCCCTCGCCGCAGGCCAGGGTACACCTGTCTATTACCGCCCCCTCCCGCGGCTGCAGGCGCGGGGCCCTCCACGCGTCCTGCCCTGCCCAGCGTGCACAGAGGGACCCCTGCTCCTCCGGGCGGACTCCCCCTCCTTCCTCAGCCCCCCAGGCACGCCTCGCGCCCTGGACTTCAACCCTCCCCCAACCCCCACCTCGGTCCGCTGGACGCTGCTCTGCAGCCGCAGACTTCTCCCCTTGCGGCTGGCCTCCCTCGCAGACGACAGGCCAGCCCTGCCCAGGGCTGTGGGGGCAGCAGAGGGCCCTGGGGGCCGCCTGCTGCGTGGCCCTGGCTCACCTGCACGCCCAGACCTGCCAGCAGCCTCACTCACCACAGCGGCGCAAGCCCACAGACAGACAAAGGCCGGCGCTGGCCCGCAGCAGCGCGCCAGCGAGCAAACCAGACTACAGCTCCCAGGAGGCTCCGCGCAAACCCGCTCTCCCGGCCCAGGGCCTCCTCGCCCAACTTTCCCGGAGCACTGTGGGAAATGTAGTTCTCTCGGGCGCCCAGCGCTCTGCCTGAGGTGGGGACTTGTCCTCAGACTAGAGCCAGACAGAAGGGACCACCTGGTGAAGCCGGCTGTTGAGCCAGGAACTGGGACGTACAAGGTTCTTGCAGGGCACCCTGGAAGGAAACAAAGTCTTGGGGAGCAGTTGGTTGGTAAAGCCTTGGGTGCTTAGAGGTTATGTGTAGGGGTTATGTGTTTGTTAGATAGGACAAGGGTCTCAAGGTCTGGGCAGTTTTTACTACAGGTTATTTTTGCCAAATGTTAAAGGCTAAGACTCCCTTTGGGAGCTAGAGCTTTGGATATGAGTCCCTTGACTCCTTTACTTGCTGTAAGTAAATAAAACTACCTGTGGCAACCACTGCTCCATCTTGAACACAGCACCCCAAATGGTGAACTTCCTGAGTTCTGTAACGAATTTGGTGCCTCCAAATGGGCCTCTCTTAAAGGGACTCCCTCTCAAGGCAGCCAATCAATGACGACTCTCTCATCATTGATGTTTCTATCTCCCTCTCCCTCTCCCTTACTCTCTCTGAAATCAATAACGATATATTAAAAAAAAAAAAAAAAAAGACTCCCTCTCGGCCTGGTGTGGGTGCTTGGTGCAGGTGCAGCTCCTCTGGGGCTTACCTGCCTGCGTCTCCACTGGGCAGAGGATCTGCTCTATGGGAGATTCCTGCTTGGTGCTGACACCAAAACGCTTCCTGGCCTGCCTCCCTGCCTCCACAGCGAGGCGCAGTGGCCACCTGAACCTTTTCATTCAGCGCTTTGAAGGGAGGCGGGTAGGTCAGCCCCAGCGGTCGCTTTAATTAGCATATCCCGTTTGGGTATAGGGTTGTTGGAAAGGTGGTTTCAGTTCTGGTGTGTGCTTGGTTTCTGGTTGGTTGGGCAGGAACTGTCTCTGGCCAGATTCAGAGCCTAACGGAGGTCTAACTCTGGGGGAGTGGAGGACTGCCTGCAGAGCAGTCCAAGACATTCTCAGGTGACAATCTCTGCTCTGGTTGTCTGAGTGTCTGTCCTGCAAAGCTGGATTTTATTCTTTGTGTGACCTTGTTTGTCTTATAGGTAAATGTTCTGGACTTGCAAAATGAAGCGGGTTGAGTCAACCACATGTATGTATTTTGAGAATAGAAGCCAAAAGGTTGGGCTTCCTGGTGACATGGTGCAGGAGGAAGGTGGAAATGACACAGGGAAATGAATTATTTTAGTAAGATTTTAGCGTCGTCTTAAGAAGTAATTTACTGGTTCCCTGTCCATTTGTCTGCAGGATAGTTTTGAGGTCACAAACTCTGGGCAGGTACACAGTCATGCATTCCCTATGTCAGATCCCAATCAAGTCTAGAAGACTCCTGAGACTTCAGCTTCTTTCCTAAGCAGCAGCCCATTAGCTCCCTCTCTTCAATTCAAAGCTGTGGAGTGGCTGGGGGTGCTGCAGGTCGAGGTGAGAGAACTTGCTCTCTGCATCCGCAGGAAGGAGGAGGTGCTTCTAAGCTATTTTCTCTTTGGGGAGTGGCCCCCACTCAGCCTTGGCACAGGCCCCTATGGCTTTGGGAGTCTGCTAATTGGCAGTGGACTGGGCTGACCTGTGCCCTTACCCTGCTGTGGAAGCAGCAAGGTGGAGCAGCCCAGTGCTTTGTCACAGGCAGAGGTAGCCACAGAAGTTTAGGAACAGAATGCAGCACTGCTGAGGTGTAAGCTGGAGGAAGACAGGGAGGCCACACCACCCAGAACCTTCTTTATAGCAGATTGGGTCTGAACTGTGGCATGTGAGCCAGGCTGTTAAACCAGGCATGCTGGGCCTGTCCTTTGCCTCTCACAGCCCCACCTGCCTGGGACGGGGAAAGCCTTGGGATACCTTCTCAGCCCATCTTCTCTGGGAGTTCAGAAGCCAGAGGGCTGAGAGGAGCTGGGTCCTGTAACTGCAGTAGGAGGTGACTCTGCTAGTTTGGGCGTCTGGGGCCTGAGAGAAGAGGTGAGGCTGGGCAGTACCTCCTGTGAGCAGCCCCTCATGGCATCACTGACTCCTTACTTTCCCCTCCTGTTTGAATACAACTTGTGCCCACAGCTGTTTCTTTTATTCACTTTCAGTCTTCAACACCTAATGTTTCCACATTGGGGACAAAGGGTTGAGGAGCCAGTCTGTGAAAGACGGAAACTGTGGGTTATATAGACCTCAGGTGATCTGTTCATCTCAAGGCTCATCCCAGAGCCTACTGGGCAGTGGGTCTGTGGGACAAAGAGGTAGAGTGTGACTGGTGGTTTCTCCCTGCATCCTGATTTTCAGGAAGGCTTTATTCTCAGAGCTACAGCTGTGCAGCTAGCTACCTAGGGGATGGTGTCTAACAGGATGTCTGATCACAGAGGGCCTTGTGCTGGGGCCTGAACAGGGTGGCCTCACATGTTTGGTCTTACCCTCCTCCTGTACACACACACACACACACACACACACACACATGTTTGTATTCCCTAGCCTCCTGCTATCATGGGGATGGGCGGTGTGTGTGTGGTGGGTCCAAGAGAACAGATGCAGAGGGCATTGTCTGGACTTTCTCCCAAGCTGTTCTCCCTCCCCAGGCCAAAGTGCAACTCTTTACTAAGCCACATGGCAAGCATCGCTGTGCTTGAGAAACCATGGGGCACTGGCTGGATATTGTGCAGAACTGTCATGTCTGGTATTCCTTCCCCCTCTGGGATTACTGTGCTTCGTCCACTGGGCTCCCCCTTTCTGCACAGTCACTTTCTGCCTCGTTCCTACCTGTCCTTCAAAGTCCTGATAGACCTAGCAGCTCAATAAGTGATTCCTGAATAAAAATCATGGCTTGGTGTCCTGGGTCATATGGAAGATGATTCCATTATGACATCCCTTGCTGGCATCTTTGTCCTTAGGGAGGCTGTCACTCTGGCCCACCTTGCTCATTAGATCCCCACCAGAATGTGAGTTTATGAGTGGCAGGGTCTCGGTGTCCTTGGCTTTCCCCCTGCTTCTGCCTCCCCTCTTATGGCACATGTCCCCTGTTAGAGTGGTGCTGTCTTTATGCACTCCTGTTCTCAGGAATCCCAGAACCTAGGGGACCTCAAGACTTTCATAAGTCAGGGAGCCAGAGAATTTCACTCCTTCAACTCAAAGATGTACTCACTCCGTCCATGTTCAGCAGGAAGCAGTTATGAAATATGACCCTTGCCCCCATTCTCTCACAGATGAGGAGTGAAAAATCTCACGGGAACATGTTCGGTAGGACAAAGGTTTCAATGTCTGGGCAGTTCTTAGTCCATGCTATTCTTGCTAAATTTTAAAGGCTAAGCCTCCCTTCAGAGCTTTGGATATGAATCCTCTCTCTCCTTTGCTTGTTCCAAGTAAATAAAACTACTAGGTGACAACCGTGTCTTTTTCTTGAATAGAGCACCCCAAGTGGCGAACCCCAGAAAATCCAACCATGCAAAGATCTGAAAAGCCAGAAAAGTGTAAGAGAGCAAAAAAACCTGTGATTCAGTGCCACCTCCTGGAGCATAATAGAAAGACCTCTTGTTATTAATCTGCTAGAGAAGTGCCTCCCATACGTAGCTGAGTGAGCAGACTGTGCTCTGTAATTAGGACTCTGAAGAAGGGGCAAATATTTCAAGCAGAGACCGTGGGAAAAGATAATTTGAAACACCAAAGAAGAATTTTGAGGGGCTGCGAGGAGGATAGTCCAATCTGGTAGAGAGCTCTTTGCTTCTGTTCCTTTTACACACCGGATAAAGGTAAGGAGCAGGCGTTGCAATTGCCTTGGATTTACATGCTGGCTCCACCACTGACTAGCTGCTGGACTCTGGATGGGCTTCTTACCTGGTAGGGAGCTCAGAATAGGGTCGGGTGACAAGGCAGAGGCAAGATGAAGGCTTCTTGGGAGGGCTAGAGTACAGACCAGGAGACCCTTATCCTGCTCCCTCAGAGCAAAGCAGGTATGCAAGTGAACCCAGAAAAAATTGTTCTACACATACCCAATGAATTATGGAGAGAAAACAGTATTTTCCAAGATTTCTCATTTTCTTTTTGAGCTGCCTCGCTGCCTTGGTTATTCATGGTATTTGATGAATTCCTGCTCTGTCTAGGGATCTATGTATGGGAGGCATTTCTCTAGCAGATTAATACGAAGAGGTCTTTCTATTCTCCAGGAGGTGACACTGAATCACAAGTTTTTTTGCTCTTTTACACTTTTCTGGCTTTTCAGATCTTTGCATGGTTGCATTTCCTGCGTAGGTGGTTTCCTCTCCTGTGCTCTGGTCACTCCAGGGGACCAACCCTGTAGGAAAATGTGTGGGCAATGGGGCTCCAAATGTGTGAAATCTCCATGCTGTCCACCACAGCCCAGTGCTACCATCAGTGTAGCAAAGGTGTGTGGGGTGGGCCGGAGGAACCTGGCTGGGTTTTTTGTTGTTTTGCCCTCTGGCAATGGCGACTTTGGATTTCTGCTGACACCCTCCTGCATCCTGAC